ATAATAATAATTACAATAATAATAATAATAGTAATAATAATAATAATAATAATAATAATAATAATAATAATAATAATAATAATAATAATAATACACCCGCACAAAACAAAATTATAACGGTGGTTTTGGTCACGCGCTTGGCTTAAAAAGCAAACATAAAGTCATATATAATATAGATATATGCAAACATATAAAAATACACACATATATTTATATTATATATTAAAATATACATTTTCCTCGAAAAAAAAAAGAAACTTTAAGAGCTACTAGCTATCCTACTTTGAGAAGAGCATTTTATTTATTTATTTCAAGCTATGCATTGCATTCGAATGTAGGAGGAACCCAGCTTAGAAGAAAAAAAATGTTAAAAAAAAAAAAGAAAAAGATGGGAATTTGAAAGAGTCGCACAAAAAAAATGCGAAAAGAAAATAAAGAAAAGATAGTGCTCACTATCGGCCGGAGTGTCTTCCGAACAATCCCCAAGATATTTGTGGAGGCCAATTTGAGGACATCTCGAGGTAATCCGGTATCTGAAAAATCTTTCGACCTAGCCGAGACCGTCATCCTAACGCGGTACACTGCCCCCTCCTGACGAAACGAAACGAAAGAAAAACCGTCGTTTAGTGCTCTAATTCTGAACCAACGTCCGGAGACGAGAATCGATAGCTTCGTCTTATTTTTTTTCTTTTTCTTTTTCTTTTTCTTTTTTACTTTTTTGTTCTTTTTTTCTTAAATTACATTTCTGTGTGTTTATTTCTTTTTTTTTTCTATTTAATTTGTTGGTTTATTTCTTTTCTGTTGTTTTCTAGTTTCAAAACCGGGCGCGAAATAGCATCCCGGAAAAAAGCGAATAAAAGGAACCAAAAAATGAAAGAAGCAAATTTACATGTTAAAGTCTGATTATTGTTGTTTCTCACCAACGAGGTTCCAGTCATCTCCGCACTGCCTCGTACAGTTTCCACGCTTTTTCTTTTTCTTTCCCTTGCCGCTAGTCGAGGAAGCTGTTATAGAAGCGTTGATAGCATCTCTTACTGCAGCAGCTTTGGTTTGATGAACGTCTTCAAGATTTGTATCCGTTCTCACTTTAGTTAACGTTACGCTAGTACCTTTCAGATTAATCCCATTCTCTGGAATAGGTTGACCTTTGGCCACTTTGCTTATTTGAATGTTCGCGAGGCCAGCCAAACTGGGACAATCTGGCGTTAATCTTGATCGCAATTCGGCAAGACTACTTGATATCATTTCATTTTTATTACGTTTTACGTTTATGTTTATTGTATCCAAAGTCGCGGCATTTGATGATACATCACCTTTCACTATGTAATCTGGTTTGGAAGGTGTTGCCAAACCCGCATTGATTGCTTGTTGAAGTGCTGGACTTCTTATAGTGACCATACCATTTTCAGAAACTTTTATTATAGCTGCTTGTTGCGTTGGTGGGACTTTCATCGGACCAAACGCAGGATTCCTTATCGTCACCATGTTTGTATTAGGATTGTGAAGAATTCTTGCAGAATCTTCCATATTCTCGCTATTAGTAGAACACTCTGTACTCTTAATTGCATTCTGTATCAAATTGCTCGCATTCGTAGAGTTCTTATTTTTCTTTTTCTTCTTCTTCCCCGTTATAGTTTGATTTGGACGAATATCTCTTGATAGTTCTATTAATTAAAAATACATGGTTATTTAATCTATGTGATCACTGTTTATCGGAAAAATATTTACAAGCTTTATTGATTAATATTTTAAATCAATAATACAAATATTTACATGTTCCTATTAAAATCAATCATTCTGTATAATACGAATTTTACAATTAAACAAAACTTACCTATTTCATTTGGTTTTGGAAGAAGATCTTGTTTAAGTTTTCCAGTGTCTACTACAATGACGTTACCACCAGCTTGAGGACTGGCATAACTAGATTGAACTCCGCTCATCGGAGCAGCTATGATAGTTGTTTGTTTTGGAGGAGTAACTGGCTTAGGCAAAGTTGTTGATTTTAATGGAAATGGCTTAATAGGACCGTCAACTTTTGTTATCGTAATACCGGGTGGTAATTTAAGATTTTCTATATTAATTTTCGAATTTAGACTAATGTCTCGAAACTGTGAACTCAGTGTCATATTTATAACATCATCCGACGTAGAAGGTATCGTTGAGAATGATCCTTGTTTGATCATATTACTGCTATTATTATTATTTCCCTTAATTTGAACCTTCTGTTGATCATTCTTTACTGGTTTATTTGTATTAGTTATATTTACAAGTTTCTTATTTTTATTACTATTCCCGTCGTTAGATTTTTCTTGTTGATTCTTTGTCTTTGCAACTGGTTCTAAAGTAACGTTAGATTTATACATATCCGTTTGCAATACATTATTAGATTTATTTGCTTTCTTAGATTGAGTATTTTGTTGTAAATTTTTACTTTTACTGGATATATTCTGTTGTTGTTGCTGCTGCTGTTGCATGACATTTTCTTTGGTTTCAGAATTCTTTTTATCTTTCTTAGATTTCATACTTTTAACTTCATTAACGCTTTGCTGTTGAGTTTTTCTTTCATCATTTTGTTTAATAGCTTTTATCTTTTCGTTGTTACTTTGATACTTTGTATGCTTTGCGTCACACACTTTAACTTGCTGTTGTTGTTTTGTATTCGTTTGTTGAAATTTGTTACTTTGTATCGTTTCTGTATTATTAGATCCTTTATTCTTTTTCTTTTTACTATTACTATTATTATTATTACTATTATTACATACATTTTGTTCTTGGTCAGATTTATGCAAAGGTACTTCCTTCGTTTGTCCATTCACTAAAGTAAATAAAACTTTATCCTCTGCAGGAGTTTGTCCTTTTAACGTTATCGTTACTGTCGGTTCTGCACTATTCGATTCCATTATTCTTTTAATCGTAACTATTTGTGGTTTATTTTTAACAGGTTCTGACTCAACCGTTGCATTCACTTTAGCTAATTCTTGCTTTCTAATTTCTCGTCGTAATTTTTTCCTTTCTTTCTTAGTCAATTGTTTGTCTACTAAATCCATTGCTGCTAATTTATCAGCTAGATTATTGGCATTATCTTTTGTATTTATTGTATTAACATTTGTTGTTCCTTTAAAAGCTTTATTACTAAATTCAATTTTTTCATTTTTTATGTCCACCTTATTTGTTTGATGATGTTGTTGCTGTTGTTGATGGTGATGATGATTAGAATTCATTTGTTCTAATTTGTTACCTATATTCAACATACTTTTCATTTTTAAATTTGCAATTACGGAAGGTGCCATCCTAACTTTGTTATTAATGCAATTAGTCATATTAATATTGCACATTTCTTGCTTGTCCTTTTTCTTATTTGTTAAATGTTTTCCATTTGGTAAAGTGCCTGGATTATTAGTAGGCAAAATTGATACTTCGGGAAGATTACACTGCGGTAAAAATCTTTGACTTACAGGTTTTTGCGAATCAACAACTGTGATTGTTACTTCTGGTGTTTTCTTTTGCAATTCGATTAATCTCTGCTTTTCTACTTCTTGCCTTTCCTTCTTGATTTTCTCTTGCAACTAATCAATAATAAAACAACAAACAAACAAATTAATTTCTTTTCTAATACAACATTGGCTTACTAAAGTTCAATTATTTTTATTTATTTAATTTTGATTTACCAACCTTACGTTGCTTCTGCCTAGCCTTTTTCTCGGCTTTCTTGTTATTATCCTTTTTCCCATTTTGATTACCTTCGATAAAGTCCAACAATTCTTCTAAATTTCTTTGATCCCTCAAATCTTTAGGACATGTTCTTGGAACCGAAGTATTAGATCTTAATGTCAAATTGTTTATAATTGGTTTATTTTCTTGATTGACGTTGGAAAGTGGCAATGCTACATCCACCATACTTTTTGGAGTGTTATAAGTAGCTTTACATTTTTTAGCTTTTTTCTTTGTTAATATTTGTCTTAATCGTTCTCTCATTTCATTATAATTTCTACTAACTGGTGCTACAGAAGGCTATTAAAAAAAAAAAAAAAAAAAAAATTATTATTACTTAGAATAAATTATATACAAAATTTTAAAATAGAACAACTATCTATAATATTATAAATTGATCAGATATAAAACATATAAAATCATAAATAATTTAAACTTACAACTCCATGTCCAAAAACTTCGCAATAACAACAATCACAATGTCTACTAGAATCTCCTCTTTGCGCTGAGCTACTAGTCGAGGAAGAATCTTCTTGACTACTTGCAGAATCAGAACAATCACCATCTCCCGAACTTACTGTAATTATAAATAATATAAATAATTATTACAACGAAGAAAAAACAAGGAGATATTATCAAGAATAAATTATTGATTAGTACTAACAATCGTTGCATGATACCCTTTTGATCTGCTCAACATTTGTTTGTTTATGACAAGCATGTGAGTTATGATTGTTGTGATTATGAAGTTTGTGCGAAGACGCTGTACTTTTTGTTATATCCGAAGCAGATCTATGAGTATGCGGATGGGTTGTGGTAGTAGTTGTAGTGGTAGTGGTAGTAGTGGTACCTGTCATAATACAAAATATATTCTTATGAATCTTTGATCGATAATAAATATCTTTAAGTGTCATAAAATATAAATTTCTACCTACTTGGAAATGTTATGCGATTATGATTTGAATTAGATGTTTGTGTCGTGGAATGCCTTGTTTGTGTTTGCGTCGATTGTGTTGATCCTGTTTTTATAACAGGTTTAGTTAACTCTTGATTACAATTAACTGCAACTGGATTGGACATTTCCTTAGGATGAACGTTAGTATTATTAACAGCATGCTCCTCTAAAACTAATAAAAATATAAGTAATTAAAAGAACGATTAAAAAACGTATGAATTATTGAAATAGTAATTAATAGTAACTTGTTGTTAAACACGGGCAAATATCCCATTTTCGTTTTGAATTTAAAATACAAGGACAAGGAGGATCTTCTATAGTTTCTTTCTTCCTTTCAGCTATTTCTTTCGCATGTAAATAAACGCATTGACATGGTTGTGGAATAGATGTCTGCGTATCTACTATATTTTCCTCTACGTTCTTTAAAATAATATCTTTATCTTCTTTAAGATCAATCGTATCTTTGATCTCTTCCAATAATTTTTTTAACTGAATTTCAGTATTAGTATTATTAGTAGCACTAAAGTTAATAATATGCTCTGTAAAAAAAATAATCAATCAGATGAAACTATATTTTATCCTTAGAAAAATATTTAACAAATAATAATCAAGATAAATTTATTTACTCATCAATCCATTAGCGATGATGGGGAAAAAATTTACATTATCCGTTGATGATTCAACATTTCCAACGTGACCATTTTCACTCTGAAAATTTATTTTGCACGTCTCAGAATAAATATAATAAAATACATACACCAATTGTGGGACATCCTATATGTATAACATCATCGAAATATGTTATACTTACCAATGAAGATGTTAAAGGCATTGTACATTCTTGACATTCACAATCATTTTCTTCTTCCTCAATACTATCTTCTATAGATATATCTTTATCGTGACTCCTATAAATAAAAATACAAATATATATATATAAATATTTATATTAACGTGTATACTGTACGATTAAATTATAATCTAGTACATGGCTTAGTCTCATTGGTCTACTAGTTCCCGTCAAGATAGTAGTAGATTACTAAAGTCAAGCAACATAGGTACGGCTAGTAAAATGAATGGGTAACTCGTTTGAAAAAGAACAAAAATCGTATGCTGTTGATTTCAGAGAGATGGTAAAAAGACGTGATCTCTTTAGTAGTATTGGATAGATGTGAGAAAGTGTTTGTGGAGAACCCGTGACTCAAGCCCGTAAAAGGGAGAATAAAAAGATTAAATTATAAACCAACTAACTATTTTTATATACATACCTGACTCTTTTAATCGCAAATTGTTCTAAGTGATTTGATGTATGCGCGTAAGCCAAAGAGTCAGTATCACTTTTATTAGGAATTAATTGTCCCCCGGTAAATTCCATTGCAATATCATGTAATTTTTTTTGACGAGCTTCGCTCCAGTCACCCAACAAAATTTGAACTATCTCGAGACATTGAAAAATATTATGCGAATCTAAGGTAAGATCTGAAGTAGGACTCAAGGATCTACCATCTATACCAGATGTATTCAATTTCCCTTGTTCGATAAGTGCAGTTATTTGCCCATCGATTTCTTGCAATTCTCTAAAAATGAAGAAATTTGATTAAAACTAATCAAAGACTAATCTAACAAAGCTATGAAATAGTTTAAATCGTACTTTCCACCATCCGATAATTTCATTATGTTTCGCATTTCCACAATCCTATTAATAGTTGTGAATAATCCCCGACCTTTTTTAAGTTGCTTGAGTTGTGTCATTTGTACTGCTTGTTCAGCACTAAAATTTAATTTTCTAGATGTATTCATTGTTACTTTTTTTTCGTTATATCAAAATTAGTTTATCTGATTGTTCTTTTTAATATTAATAATATATTACATACTTATATTTAGCCATCCATGGCTCTATCTCGGGCCACAAGTTACGAATCGTAATCATTTCGTCATCAAATGACAAATACCTACGAATTAGTCCCTGATATTCTAAACCTTTCAATAGCAAAACTTTCCTTAACTGCAAATTTATTTAATCAAGTCAATTAAATCATCCTAATATTTGTATTTATCTTAACGATTCATAATATATAATTGATACTCGATATCAAATAAAATTTAACCCCTTGCATTATAACAACATATGAAACTTATGATCTGCTTCACAGCTCAAACATAAAAATAAAATGTAGCGAAGAATATGGCACTCAGTTTTGCATGTTAAATCATAGCACAAGGGGCTAATTTATTATATTCTTTTTTTCTTTACCTGTACAAGAAAAGGAGGCAAATTATTTTGTACCAATGGATTATTATAAACATAAATTTGATACAACTTCTTAATAAAACAATCCCACGTTAAGTTAAATTTATAGAGATAGTTTTTTAACGGTTTAACTATAATAGAAATTTTAAAAGCAGTGGTCATTAACGCATCATAGTCATCCAAAAGCCCTACACACAAAATAATACAAATATTCTTGTATAAAGTAATGATATTTAATTTTTAAACATTACCAATGTTATATTAAATTTATAATTTAATATACCAACCGTTAAGAAAAATTTCAGCTAAATTAATCACACTACGGTCATCTAGAAGTGCCAATAGGCGAACTTTAACTTCTATAACAAACTCTTGTGCCTGACCCACTAACCTCATAAATAATTGATAAGGATCCTTTACGCACAATCTGCAATTAAACGTAGAAATTGAATCAATTTCGTTCATAATAACTGCGTTTAATTTATAATATAACAAATAACGGCCAATACTCACTGAGTCACCGTATCATGCATATCAATCACAGATAACATTTCTTGTTGGGATTCTAAAGAATCGGAGGAACGAGATACTTCCAACGCGTTTTTAAAAATAGCTCTTATTTGCTGCCTCAAATGTGACCAAAGCTTTTGAAATTTCATAGCAGCTTGCACCTCTTCGCGAGATATATCTCTGCGCGAATTGAGAAATATTAGTTGATGAAATAATTGATTTTATAAATTATAAATATATACAGGATGTCCTGTAACTGATGAAACATATGTTTCTCAAAAACAAAGCGCATTGTAAGAACAAAATGTATTTTACATTTTCAACCTAGTTTTTCATGTAGAATCACTTGTTGCAAGACATCCCCTATACAAATTGTTAACATAAATAAACATATTAACATATTTGCTATCACAGAGCAAAGAATAGATCGTAACCATAATCCAGAACTAATTTTTCGTGTTGACTGCTATCGCAAATGTGTGACAATGGGTTCTCGATGGAAATTAGTGTGTCACAAATATATGACATTAATAGCAGATGCATTAAGATCATTTAATTGATTACAATAAATTTGCAGTTAAGAAGGGTTTAGAATGTGGGCTGTCCAATTGGTAGATATTTTTTATTTGGCAATGAAATAATAACGATTCGTATATTAACAATTAACCTCTCACACTGTAGCAACACATGAGACTTGTGATACACAAGAAACATGAGAAACATGAGTCCTATTCGTAGCAAATTTTATGGGAAGTAACATGAAATATTGCACAAATTTTGGCACGCAGATCAGAGCATTAAATCATAGTGTAAGAAGTTAATATATATTATTATATTATCACATATATATCATATATAATAATATTAATAATATTAAATTATTTATTATATATATCTATTCGTACTATTATCATTATGTTACCTGTTAGCCTTATAAACATCACACGAGCAAGATTCTCTAATTCCTCTCGAAGGACTATGATGAACCGATAGAGATTTATTAGAAATATTATGAGAGGATATATCGGGGTTGGTTGATACGATAGAAGATTCCATATTCTCAGAATACACCGTCTCGCTATCTGAAGTATCGACTTCGCTCTCGTTAATATTCATGTTCTAAAAATATTATTAGAATAAAATTTCATACAAATATGAATGAAAATATTAATAATTATGAAAATTTTCATGGAAACATACCATAACAGGAACGTAATCAGTTACATTGGTAGATGTAATCGTTTCCTCTTCTTCCTCCTCCTCCATCACCTCCTCCTCTTCCTCTACCCCATTGATATTACCTGGTATATCAGCCCCCAATTGCATATAATCATTATTAAAAAAACATTGGGGATCTTTGTGCGTACAATTGGAATTTGTAAGAGTATCTTCGTTCATTGATGCAACGTTTCCTTCTTTAGCTCTTTCACAGTGTTCTTCCTTGACGTCACTACCGCTCATTATTACAATTAATCTAATAGAACAATAACGCAATAAAATATCAACCGAATTTATTTCCCGGTTAAAAATACAACTGATACGTTCTTTTTAATTTTCTACAAATTGTATTAACTACCGCGTAAACACCTGCACCGCATCAGTCAACACTTCACTCAATATGGCGTCCTCTCGCGTGTTGATCATGCGTAAACGAGAATCTAGATGGGAAGTCGTATTGGTATTCCTATTGGTAGTCGTTCATGTAATTCTCATTTCCAACACATAATGTCGCCACTATTGTCTTTTTATATTTATGTATTTTTTTAAATAAAGTTTATAATAATGTTTTATTTGTACGATATAATTACTCTAAAACAAAGTATAAAGTTCATGATGAAATTAATAAAATAATATAATTAGAATGTAATATACTAATCAGATGGTATAGCAATACTGCGGCATTAGCTGCACATGTGATTTCAATTTAAAAACCATTTAATACAAAGAACAAGTACATATAAAATTCATTGGAATAAGACATTCTATCAAAAAAAGCGCGATTGTAATATTGCCATTTATATTTGCATATCAGTATTATTTATAACAGATGCTTCCTACGAAATTTTGTTTACTAATTTATATACATATACATTATATACATATATTTATACAATTAGTACAATATCTGCTTTTATGTTACATATATTAAAATATAGTGCAATTGTCTAGATATTTTTTATTTAAAAAAATTATATTATTATTGCACTTTCTTATCAGTAACATTTTAAATTGCGGAACTTATCTGTCGATATGTTACCATAAGTAGATAATGAATATATATGAAAATATATTTGTCTTTATATTAATGTTTATATTTATTGCTGTTTGAGTTATTTTATTTTTTTTTTAACGGTTATTAATTATTATTCAATTATTCTGATAGTATAATTACATTCAATTTCGTTTAATGATACACATGCAATGATATTAAATAATTAATGAAATCAATTTAACTGACAATGAGATTATAGTAAAATGTACAATTAAACGAATCATGCTTTAAGATTGTACTACATTACTTGTAAGAATGAACGCTTAATAAATATGAGTATATTCTTAAATATGTACCTGTTTACGTATCTAGTAATTATAATTTTAAAATAAAGGAAATTCGTTAAAATGCCGTAATAATCATTATTAACGTTGTATAGATAATTATTTCTTTGGTATAAAGTGAAGATAAATTCCTTCGGATGGTCTCAAAATAAGAGCACCGTAAAATTTAATGTGGCCTTCTTTTAGAATACTTTTCACTTTCCATTTACGTAAGATAGCAGCGAGGACAAATTTTTCTTCCAATTGAGCGTATTTTTGTCCAAGACAATTCCGTGGTCCTGCACTGAATGGTATGTAAGCATAAGGATGCCTGTTCTTTGAATTTTCAAGTAAAAATCTATCGGGATCAAATTTTTCTGGATCTGGCCAAATATCCGGATGCCGGTGAGTACCGAAAGAACTTAAAGCAACAACGCAGCCCTTGGGAATTATATAATCATCTGAAACGGAATTTAATATTGCTCAATTTGGGTGTAAAATAGTGGTGATAAATATTAAAACTAATTTTATCTTACCTATCTTCACGTCTTCGGATAATTTTCGTAAAAATCCAGGTGCACTGGGATACAACCTGAGGGCTTCTTTGGTTACTCTATCGAGATATTTCAATTGCGCAATTTCTTTTGTCGTAGCTGATTCATTCGAATCGCCAAAAATATCATCCAGTTCTTGATGCACCTTTTCTTGAATGTCAGGATTATTACCAAGGCAGAAAAGTGTCCAACTAATGGCTGCAGCAGTTGTATCGTGTCCCTTTGTATTTCAAAACGTACAATTATTTTCTATGTATGCACCAATCTAAATATGCTAAATATGCTTCTATTAAGAATCATGTGTTTAAGTGTGCGTAACTTACAGCAAACATAACTGTATCCACTTGTTCCCTTAATTCCTCATCCGTCATTGGATTTCCATTTCTTTCTCTAGCATCTAATAAAAGATCTAGGAAAGCTTTCCTTTTTGGTTTACCTATGATCGAATAAAAACAATTTTTATTTAAGATATAAGTAAATTATAAACAACATTTAATACCTATCTCGTCAAAAGCTTGAACCTCTTCGTTAAAATGTTTTAACTCTCGCGCTATCTTCTTTTTTTTTATCACCTGCAAAACAATTTTATTTCATATAATTATTACACGATAATTATATACGCGATAATCGTTAAAAATATCATTTTGTTATATTACATTTCTTGTAAATGTATGCATCACGTTGATTGCTGCATAATACTCTTTTCCAACTTCTGTTAAAGCGAAAACCCAATCCCACGCGAGCCAAGGACGAAATATGCGATACATCAGTAATTCGGTAAATCTGAAAATATTTTTATGAAAACAAATAAATGACAATCATAAGTGCATTTTCTATAAAGCGCATTTTGTTAAGTGTATAGCGTAGTCCTCGGAAAATATAAATGCAGTCTTCAAAAAAATTATTCCACGTACCTATGAACGGCCTTGCCATATTCATTTTCGGTATCTTCTTGCATGTTTATATTAACTCCCATTGCTGTTTCTGAAATGAAAAGTATGCAAATTACTTTTTTTTACTAAAAATAGACTTTGAATGAGAGATATAATGTAATCTCTGAATAATAATTTAAATATATACGGTTTAAAAATAAATACGATAAAACGTAAACAATATTTTACCACATATAACATCCAAAGTGCATCGATTAGCGTACGGAAAAATGTCAATAGGGTCCTCCGAATTTTCCTTTAACTGTTTTTCAAGACATTTTACAAAAATGTCGGCTTTCTCAGACATCACCACTGCGTACTGTTCTAATATATTAAAGTGAAAAGCTGGAGTAATCAATTTTCTGTCCTGCATCCATTTCTTTCCTGATATTTACAAGATAAATTAAAAAACAACCTTATACAAAAATAATCAATTTGTTGTAAGATGTACACATTTTTAATTCTCATATAATTATACAATCTTTTTTTTTACCTGAAGCTGTTAGTAATGCTTTTCCTAACCACGGTTCCAAATATTTATAAAGTGGCGCCTTTTGAATATTCCTAGTACTTCGTAGAATTATCTAAGAATAATGAACAATAAATTCCCATTAATTAAACAAATGAAACATTTATATAATAATATTAATTACCTCAACGTGTTCGGGTTTATGTAAATGAACGGTAGGCTCGTTTCCCAACCAAGTACGAAATAATCCATCTTTATATCTGACCGAACAAATTTGTATTTTCAATAGTCGATCTGTAAAAGCACAAACATTCATTCATTCAAAGTTAAAAATAAAAATTAAAACAAAAAAAAGAGCAAGAGAGAAAAAGATGTGTGCAAAAATAAAAGAAGAATAATAAAAAGAATAAGAAAAAAAAAATATAATTCCTTATCTATCATTCATAGAACAAAAACAGGAAACAGGAAATGGTATTAGAAAAATGGAACATGTATCGAGTTAAACATTTCGATCGATAATAAACGATATGTAGAATAATTTTTAACATTTTTCTGTTTCTCTCTCTCTCTCTCTCACAAGAGTTTTGTGTTTATATTATAAAATGATAATAATATTAATAATACGCGTAAATGAGTTAAATGAAAGAAAAAAAAAGATAATTTGATAGTATCTGTTGTTCTTATCATTGGTGGTTGAATGTCATCAGGGTGAATGAAATGTCATCAATGCACTTCTGTTGCACTCTCCAATAAAATAACACGCGTACAGAAACGAGGAACAAGTAATTTTTATTAGTGATTATATTCATTAGATAAGAACTTCCGGTGACATAAATTGACAATATGATAATAAAATCATTGATTTTTCTTATTTTCATTTGGTATAATTGGATTAAAAAAGGGGGATGAGCAAGACGTTCTGAAGGAATTTAAGAGGAGAAATATTCTCGCAAAATTGTGTGTATGTAAGTATGCGTGTGAATAAAAAGAAACAAAAAATAATAAAAATCAAATTAAATAAAATTAGGAGAAAAAGAGAGGGAAAGAATTAAACGGAAACATCCTTGTTGTATTATAGCAACTAATCCCCCAAGTACTAATATCACAAGTTTAATTCATCGCAATTTATGATAATTAAAGTTCATGCTCTCGATGACATAAAACAGATAAGAGGTTGGATACGAAGGTCACACAATCAAAGTTTTAGTGACACTTTAAATAAATAAAATTATATGCACTCACATGCACATATTCTTTTTTTCTTTTCTTTCTTCTCTATAAAATTATATATTATATACTCCTTTCTTTTTAATATTATTAAAACGTTCATGCAAGTGTATTTTTATTTCGATTTTCACATGCCACACAAATTTGTTTTTTATATTAAAAATTGCAGTGACACTAAATAAATGAAGACATTTAACAATTTTTGTTTCGAATTTTACATATCAAACAAACTAATTTGAATGTGAAACCATAAATGTATTAAATCATTTATCGATTTTTATTTCGAATTTATTTTCCTTTACCCCAAAACAACTAAAGCAATATAAATTAAATGTTAATAATTATAAAGAAAATGCGCGTTACCTTCTTTTTTTAATCTTCTTGCAGAAGATCCGCTTCCAAATAAAATGTTACCTTTCGGTCCTGGAAGTTTGTTGATGGTTTTATGAAAAATATATGCACTGTATAACGACAATAATATTTTAATGAAAATAATAAGGCTTATGCAGCCTAATATTAATAACGAAGAATCCATTATTTTCCTATATAGTTATAAGCTTAACACCGATAACGATTAAATTGTAACGAACAATAACGACGATCAACTTGCTTACTTTCCTTTTAATGCATCATGCAAGAATGATACATATATAAAGCATCGTAAAGATTTTTTTATACTTTTCTCTCGAATCACGCAGATTCAGTGTCACACTAACAACATTCTCGGAAATGGTCATTGGTGAATACTCTACATAATAATAATAATAATAATGGCAATAGTACGTTTTAAATAAAAATGATTTAGCTTTGAAGATTTTTAATAAATTTTACAAAAGGAGGGAGAGGGAGATTTTCTTCGTTGTAGTTTAATACGATATTATATCATTCACGGACTGAATGAATGACAGTATAAAAAAGAAGATAATAAAATGATAATGTGAAGAATTATAAAAATGAATTATATTCTTTTTTATTCGTTTAATTCAGATTAACGGAATTTATTGTGATGTATTACGTCTCATATCCCATTTATCCATTTCTTTTGTAAATAACCTGTATTAATAAACATTTCTATGTTATTTATTTAGAAATTAATTAATATGACCATAATTAATTAGAATTTCAAATCAAATAACTTACCCTCCGCCGTTATAAGATCATTTCCTAACCCTTTTGATTTAACTAGATTATAAAAATATGATTTGTTGATGTTTTTAAAATTACTGACTATACTAATATTTTAATGATTATAACAATGCACAGTCTAAAAGCATTCACGTTATACTTATAAAATCTATTTATTATATAAGAATAAGAGAAATGATATTTTATTTTAAAAAATTCATCAAAATAATAATATATTTGTATCATATATAAATATTTCTAAGATGTACTGCACAAGTCGTTAGTAACCGAATAATTTTATTATTATGCATATCGTATAAAACAATTTCCGTAAATAGGTATCACAATACGTGTCAACAAAAAAAGAAAATTAAAAAACCTTGTCCTTTTAGAAAGAATTTGTTGCATTTTCATTTTCAATTATTATCGAACCAGGATGGTTCGATGACGTTACATTTAACAGGTGGTAATGGTATGGGAGTTGTTGAAGGAAGAGATGTGGGTAAGAATTCACCAGGCCAAAGATGAACAGCATCTAAACATAATAATCCAATCAAAATACCATGCATTAATGGTGCCAAAATGGTCAACAATCTTCCTCTTGTACGTATTTTCTGTGGCCAAATAAATATCAGTCTAGAACTACCTAAAAAAAAACAAACAACTTTGTCATTAGTAAGAAATGTTAATTGCCGTATACGGAATGTCCTAATATTTATCAGTCAAACTGCAGGAATATATTCCATTGTTTAAAGTGTTCTTATGTTCACTTATAAAATATATTCCTTCATTTTGCAACCGGTAAACCTTGAGATATCCGATAAACAAAGTGATTCACACAACTAGCACGATTAAAATAATTTTTACGTTACATGAAAATTTGTTAAATAGAAAAATTGCATAATTTAGGGAATTTTTTAAGTACAAATATACATTAAATTTGAGAATAATGTTATAAATTTGCTTTAATTTGTATTTCGTACTATATACTGATTATGCAAATAAATATTTGCATAATAATTGAGGAGTTTAAATGAATAATAAAAACCACCTGTGTTCCGTCGAACAATCGAGGAACCAACGTGATGGGGATTAACACCTGCTGGAGCACTAAAAATTCCATTTCCAAAGGAAGCTTTTTTTTTTCGATAACTGAAAGCTCGACCACCACTTGACCGTTGTAGTACATGACTGTGGAAATCTTTCTTTTTTTCATGAATCGATCGTATTGATTGCGATTGTGTACTTAAAATGCTATCTTGAACAGTACTCGATACGCTAGTTAATGAGGTTTTATCATCTTCTTCGTTCCTTTGACGCACCAGGTCGATCCATTTATCATACCGACTAATTACATTAATAATAATAATAATAATAATAATAAGTTCTGTTTCGTTGCAGTAGAAAATCTATTTTTTAAATACAAAAATGAATAGAATTATAATAATAACATATTATATATAAATTCGAAGTCGCTTTGATGCCTTATTATAACAAAAAAAAAACAAAAAATTAAAATTATTTGAAGAATGGCGGCTTACAATACGTTCAATGCATCCCTTTAAAATGAAATATAATTTAGCAAAAAACCTTTTTTAGATACAAACAATAAGTAAGAAATTATTTGAAATTCTAATTGTGTATATAATACACACGCGTATTGTTTTTATTATTTATTTATTATTTAATAAGAGAAAAATAAAATAAAAGAGAGAAATTTACTTCAATTTCGGAGAAGAAGAGACAGCATCTTTGCATCCACGAATTTGCTCCAGATTTTTCGTTTCTCCACAATTATTCACCAAATTTTACTTTCCCAATATGCAATATTTTTCTATCAATGATCTCATTTAACATGAAACGCGATATCTCTGGACGACATCGCGAGTCTTATGACATTAATTGCATAATTATTATTCTTATTATTATCATATCATGTTTATTAAGAATTGAGTATGACAACCGCTCGAATTTCATTCATATTATATCGTCGAATTAAATTCGCGCATTTTATTCGACAAAAACTTCCTATCCGTTCGTTGGTAATATCGTTTTATTAAATTATCTAACATGTTTTATAAGCATTGAAATTAACGCTAATTTATCTTACAGCCTTTAACATTGCATTTGTATTTACATACTTACAAAAATCCATGCACATTTTCATGGCTTTTTGACAGAACCAACGTATCCAAATTTTTCAAGTTTGTAATTTACCTTTTCGAACTATTACAAATTTTTATCATTATTTTAACGTTAACGCAACTAATAAATTATGGCAATGTTGTATAAAAATGGTAAGTAACCTCATTTAAATAAATAAATAAAAAAAAAAAGAACAAAAATTTATCTAATAAGAGCATTTTTTTAAATAAAATGACATAATCAAATTTTTCGATTTGACTTAATATTATTTACGGAAAAACGAATTCGACATATAATAATTTTAATGAAATAAAAAGTATTCATTAATTTTCTTTGCCTAACACACAGATTGTTTAATACCTAAATATAATCTAAACGCAAATATATCTACAAATTGATGTCTGCACATTTATCGGGTTGCTTTTTTACTTTTCTTTTTTTTAAAATAGAGAAAAACGAGAGAATGCGAAAATACATGTTACAAGGCAATAAATAGAAAACGAAAGTTACAAATGAACATTTTGCAGGTAGCAAATCCGAGACAAAAATGAACAGACAGTCGAAATCAAATCTGGAAGAGATCGCAGCTAGTATAGAGGAACGTCATTGCGATTTAACAGGACGACACAGATATTTGAGGGAAAAAATCACTACAATGGAAAGATCCATACCAGCACTTATGGCTTATAACATGTGGGTCTCTGGAAAGAGCTGCGACGATGCACCCTTTTGCAAAATTCGTGAAATTATGAACAAGCTGTCGCCCGATTTAGACCCTACCGAAAAATTACTTCGTAATTTGAAGAGTACCATTAAGGATCTCAACAAGGAGACGACGGAGTTGCACGTACGACCCGATTGAAATTCAACATACGACGACTACGGGGTAATAAATCTCGTCAGTATGAAGAAAAACATACAAACAAAACAAAAATAAAAGGAAGAACACTTTTCTCGTTTTGTTCAATAATAATTACAGAGTTTATAATTTGTCGTAACGTTTGCAGATCACATTCAGTACTTATTTTCTAATCAAATTTTTCCAACAAATTTTTATTTCAGTAAGACTGCAAATATTGCAATGCATCAAAGCCATATCATTTGTAATAAATTGGTGTATACGCTATTAAATAATTATTTGATTTATTTTATATCGATTTCCGTATTATAGGACAAAATTATTGACGCTGATATTAAATTGGAGGAAACCGAAATCGAGTTGGAATCCCTCGAATTGGAAAACAAGGAGATGAACGATCGCGTTAACGAAATGGAAAAAGAAATTCGTAGTTATCGAAGTACGAGTTTGGATTCTATTCATTCGGAAGATCTCATTTGTTTGACAAAGATTCATCAACTTGCTAAAGACGAATTAGAGTTAAAAAATTGTATAACAGTATTGGAAGAAAAAGAGACTTTGTATGCGGAACAATTGGATCGTTTGCTTGCTTCGAAAGAATTTCAAAATAGTTCTGGTAACAATAAGATGTTGAAACGTATTCAGGATCTGGAAAGTAATGAGAGGAGGATGCATTGTGCGTTACAGTTTTACAAGAACAATGTGCAACGATTAAAAAAGGAACTCATAAGGAAGAAGAGTGATGTTAGTTTTTTTTCCGATCGAAAATATTCTTGACGCAAAAAAAAAGAAGAGTAAAAAGATAAAAATAAAGACGAACAATTTTAATTATTTTTTTTCAGAGTTCTATAGATTCAACGACCCCTTTAACAACTTCTAAACAAATTGCACGAGATAAATCACCCAAGAATGAGAATAACGAAGGAAATAAAACAGCTTCTTCAAAAAAAATGAAAGATCAACTAACTGAGATTCCAAATGAACAGACTGCCATTAAAAAAAAAGAGAAATTAGCTTCAGTTAATGACAAAAATCACGTACGTTAATAAATCTTTCTTGCATTAAGGTGCTTCAAAATCTTAGGCTCAATTATATTTATTACACAAATTAATTTCTACCGTAGGAATTAAAAGCATGTATTTGTCCAAGGAAGAATAACTATGAAATCGATTCGACGATAAAAAAATCGGCTAAATCTTTGAGGGGTGCACAGATATTCCCTTCTAACGTATCAAAATCAAATTATGCTCAATTTTCGCAACAAGATAATGAAAGAATAAAAAATGATAAATGCAAAATTTCGTGCCATTACATTTTGTCGCAGTATTCGCATGGATCAACAGCAGTGAAAAATCCTTGTTCGATTAAACTTCCTTGCGATCATCCTCCTTGTGCTATATTGAAATCAAGTATGCTATTTTTTTCTAATTGTTAAGAGAAAAGAAAAATCAGAAAACATTCCTAACATTACTCGAAACATTCATAAGTCTTTCGTGTATGTTTTAGAATGTCCAACAGCTCCTTGCAACTACAAGGTTACATCTAATAATTCTTACATATCGTCATCTTTGTGCAAGAAATGCAATTTGACACGCAATAAAAATGAATGTAAATGCAATTGCAAAGGTAAATGTGCATTCGGATTATCCAGTGTGTCCTGCAGATGCGGAGTCGTATCATCTTGTCCATTGGATAAAGGATATCAACCTGTAGCAAAATCGGTATCGCGTATTTGTATAAGCAGCAGTGATAGCGACGACGAATACTGCGAATGTTGTTCTTGCGGTTGCGAAGACAGCTACGAAAATAACTCCTCTTGTTGTTGCAATTGAATATCGATCATTGTTGTTTCATAACATATACTTACATTGTACTTTCTAAATAATACTTTTGTTTAATAATTCAATATTATCAAATAACATTGTAATATTATCAATACGAGTAATATCAAATCGGATTATTCTATCGGAACATTTCAATCGTGACGCATGCGATACTTGTTTAATGAAAATTTATTTTCTATGACTATCGAAAAATACATGCGTAGAAAAATACGAACGTTTATGCGTGGATGTAACTAAGAAAAAAATTAGCATTATATATATCTTTTAGATAAAGTTTTATCTAGTCGTTTAAACAACGACTGAAACAAACCTCGTTTACTTTACTGTATCATTTAAAAAGGTATGTTAAATGGATAGTTAGGACTGGCCTCGGATCTGAAAAATTACAAATCAAATAGTAATACGTAATACGTAATAATATTAATAAATGTAAGTATGAACAAAATAAATTTACCCCGTCATCGAGCAGATTCTTCCATTGCAATCAAAAGTGTCAATGTAGGCAATATCCTCGGACGTAAGTTTGAAATCAAAAATATTAGTATTTTCGATGATACGTGATTTAGTTACAGATTTTGGAATAACCACATGTCCACGATCCAACTAAAATATACAAAGTAATATATTTGTTTGTTTTACAATTAATAAAAAAACAAAATATCGAGTATATACAACTAACTTACTTGATAGCGCAAAAGAATCTGTGCTGTTGTCTTATTATATTTTTTTGCAAGTTCATTTAACTTAACATCATCCAATAATTTAGGGTCATCTGGCTTGGCCCATGGTCTATCTGGCGACCCCAAAGGACTATAAGCGGTAATGACGATTTCTTTTTCTTTACAGAAATCAGACAATTTTCTTTGAGTTAAATATGGATGACATTCGATCTGACAACAAAATATTCCAATTATTAACAATTTCGAATATTAACTTCTTTTAATAATTAATAGAAAATTCAACGTACTTGATTGGTTACTGGTTTAACAGTACAATTGTTAAGTAATCTAGTAATCTGTTCCGAATTAAAGTTACTGACACCAATGTTCTTAGTTAATCCTTTTTTTAATACACCTTCCATACCCTTCCATGTGTCGACATAATCAACATCGCTTAACTCAGGTATACCATCAGATTTTGTTGGAAATAATTCATCCCCTTCTTTGAAAGCGAAAGGCCAATGAATTAAATAAAGATCTAAATACTCCAGACCAAGATTGCTTAATGTAGTTTTAAGCGCAGGCTCGACTAAATCAGTTTTGTGATAGGTATTCCAAAGTTTACTAGTAATGAATAAATCTTGTCTAGTGACGACTCCTTCATCGATCTTGACTTTGATCGCTTCTCCAACTTCTTTCTCATTACGATAGACATGAGCACAATCAATGTGCCGATAACCAGCATCTATAGCATCCTTTACAGCTTGAGTAACTTCTCCGGGTTTTGACTACAAAAAAATTCAAATGTTATGACTTACATGAAGAGCATAATAAAAAATATGCAGTAAAACTTCAGATAGGAATTCATCATAGACAAGAAAAATAGGTTAACTCAGCATGAGTCTTTAAATGTTCAATTTCTGAACTCTACATAACTTTCAAGTATATTCTTATATAGGGTATTTTTAATTATAATTATTTAATAGAATTAAAATAAACGTTCATTTCATATTTTAATGACGTTTCAAAATTCTTAACATAATGCATATTATCTATAATTATATTTAATTATATTATATAAAATTGATAAATTGATTTCTTTCTCTCAGAATTTATTAGAACGTTTGAAAATATAAATATATCTAACGTTGATTATTCCAATTCTAAGATAACCATTTTTTTCTAAATGCAAATCCATAATCATTAAATTAAATCTAACCGCGATAATAATCGTTCGATAACTATTATATAGTCTTTTGACTTGTGATAAAAGTGACCTTGAGTTTATCATGTCTACCATAAGAAAAACTTATTTACCATTAAATGTATTTAGATATAGATATATTATCATAAATAGATATATATATATATATATATATATATATATTATTATCATACATATATAGCATACTATTAATAAATATGAATAAAATATATTTTAATATCTAACGGTTCGAATTATTCATGTTAGAAAAAGTATAATAATAATTGTATAAAGAGATTACGAGAATTAATTTCGTGATAACGTACCTTCCACGTACCCAATCCAAATTGAGGTACAGTATTACCGTTGTAAAATTTAACATTTGGTATATTTAAAACCATTTTTCTTTTGTATTATTTTAATTGAAAAATATCTCTACTCTTTTACGAAACTATTCGATATAGAAAATATTAAACGAATTAAAGGATTTTCGACTGTATAAACGGTATACGGTATCAATCTGCTGCGCGAAAATACGAATAACGAGTAAAGCGCAGCGGTATTGCGTGCTGTATTTATAAACGTTCTGATTTAGATCTCCCCACTCTTTCGATTTGCGATATCCCCCCATACACAACTTCCCAATTAATCTCATGCTTTAATATTATATGGAGCAAACATTATTTTAAAACATATACATTATTTTATTTAAAACCATAACTACTGCAACCAATTAAAATGATTAATATAACTTCTTTTTAAAGACTGGTTATTTAACCGATTATGTATTTATATATTAAGTATCAATAAGTTTAATGTTAAGAGTCGATTATAGGAATTTTCAAAATTGAATCAAATTAAATTTAATTCCACGAATTTAGTATCAAGAAATAAAATCATTTTATTTCCTGATCTTGTATTAGGATGCTGAAACGTTCCATTGTATGATCTCATTTATAAATTTAAAACTAGTTTTTAAGTTAAATTAAATTTAAAATTAAAACCTAGTTTTTAATTTAAGTATAAAAGTATTCGTTTGTATGATTCAGTTTTAAACAAAAAAATGTATAATGTATAATACAATGATGAGTAATGAGTAAGCTGTTACGTAACAGTCATTCCCTTGTTTATCATACGTTAGATATTGCGTATAAAGATTTCTTTGTGCAATAGTCTAACGTATAACAGAGAGAAGTTGATAAATTCTTGTAAGCAGAAGAGAGTAGTAGTATGGAAAAATACAGAACGGATGCTACTACCGATGGTAGCAGCGAATAGCTATTAGAAGAATCTTACAATGCCAGTAGGAGCGGCAGACCATCAAAGGATGGAGCCCTCTTCTTTTATCCTTTATTACTGTCAATGTAATATATGTATAAGTGTATTAGGGAACCCTCCTTTAGTCCATTTCATATTAAAGTGGGAGGAATCAAGGTCACCATCATATATTTTGGTATATTCCTTTCTTCAAGATGGTATAAGTTAAACACTTATTTTTTAAATAAATAAAAATTATATTAATATTAAATACGGTCAAGTAACCATTATTGATTTTATGAATTTTTCTTTTACGATAATAATAATTATAAATATTGTTTTATTATTGTTTGAAAATTGTTAATACTTGACTACAGCATAATAGAAAAGTGAATAATATTTTACATAACTATAAAAAAAGAAAGATATAAAAACTGCTGTTTTTATGACGCTCGTAATTGTTTAAAAGTATTTTAAAAAATTTTATTAACGTTTGTAATTGTTTCAAATTGTTTTGAAAATATTTTACGAATTAATATCATTCAAACGTAATCATAAAAATCCTACAGAATACACAAACGTGTAAAAATTTCATTTCTACGTGACTTTTCGAACAATCATTTGCTTTATTTTTTTTATAAAAATAATACTGCAAAACTTGTTTAATCATTTAACGTGTAATATCAGTAGTAACAAAAAAGCGATAAAAATAAAAATATCATTTTTACTTTATCACGTTATAACATTCAAAATAAAAATGTATGTTGACAACAAAGAATATGAATTATGGTCATATCTTTTTTTACATTTTCTTAATTACAATTATTTATCAGCAGTTTTAATTATTCGAAGAATAATGTTATTTTCGTTAATGATTTTGAATGCATTTTAATTATCAAACTTCAATTAGATTTGAAACATTCTTGCTGTTACATTTACAGAACAGGAAACAGTGGAAAGTACCCAACATTGGTACGATTTTATTACGAATAAATTTGTCTCTGTCTCTCTTGATTTATTAAGAACAAAGACATTGTCCTTGTTCACGCTAGTAAGAGACGGAAGAAGGGGGGATTAGACAGTAAGAGGGAGAATGGATAATTTGGCAAGTTGAAATCATATATTTCATTCAATTCATTTTTTTTAATAATAATTCGTGTACTTATATGTTGCAGTAAAAACTTGAAGCATAGTTAATGTAGAGAATATAAAAATGTAAATAATCAATTTGATATTATCTTAAATGATAAATAAAACAATATTTATAATTATAATTTTTATAAAGTCATTTGATTCATTGCTATATATTAATGACTTTATAACATATTACTCTTAATTTTTATATTATACTTTACTTGTGATTATAAAATGAAATTGAAAAATAACTTACAAATCATATATTAATGACCTCGAAAACAAGATATTAAAATTAATTAATATATTGGCAGAGCTCTGTAAAGAAATCATATCTCTCTATATTCCATGAACTTTAAAATGGAATAGAAAATGGAAAATATTTGTGATCTTGTACTCTGAAAGAAAAAATGAAACAGAAATATATTAATGAATCAATACATTGATAGAGAAATTTTTATATTTTAATTTAAAATATTTTATATTTACTCTGCAGATGGTGCTATTCTTTCACCAGTACCAATCGCTTTTATAGCAGTCATTTCATCCGTTGTCAATTCGAAATCAAATATTTCCATGTTTTCTTTAATTCTACTTTTAGTTACCGATTTAGGAATTACTGCAGCACCTTGTTGATACTAAAATATTAATTAATTAATCTTTCAACTTACATTTATATCAACACGTTTAAGAAAAATATTACCAAGCAATGGTAAACTTACAACATATCGAAGTGCTATTTGTGCTGGAGTTTTTTTATATTTTTCAGCTATTTTAAGAATTACTGGATCATCCAAAGAATTTTTAATACCTAATCTATTTCCAGGTCTTCCAAGAGGCGAATAACCACTCACTACGATATTATACTTTTTGCAAAAGTTAATTAAATTTTCCTGATTAAGATTTACACTAACTTCGATCTACAAAATGATACAAATTTAATGAATTATGAAAAACGTCGAAATTTTATAGTAAATAATATCGATACATACTTGATTATTTACAGGAATAAATTTAGCAGATTTCACCAATCGGGCTATTTGTTCAGAGTTAAAATTACTGACTCCAATACTACGAGTTAATCCTTGTTGAACGCATTCTTCCATTCCTCTCCATGTTTCAAGATAATCGGTATCTGATAATAAAAGCTTACCATCTTTGTCTTTAGGTATTAATACGTCTCCTTCCTTAAGAAAGGAACGAATGAAATGTTTTAGTTAACATATAATTATTATATTTGTAATATAATATTTAAATTTTATATACTTACTTGATAAGCGAATGGCCAATGAATTAAATATAGATCAATGTAAGTCAAACCAAGATTTTCTAAAGATTGTTTACAAGTTGCAACTACACTCTCTTCCTTGTGACGATTATTCCACAGCTATAACACAAATAAAATAAAATAAAATTGGTAAACCAAAATGTACATTTCTGTACATTTGTTACTTTTGTTTTAATTATTTGTTCTAAAATTTTACCTTTGTAGTAATAAAAAGCTCTTCTCTTGTAACAGTTTTATCTTGGATTTTTGCTTCTATCGCAGCACCAATTTCTTTTTCATTTTCATAAAAGAAAGCTGTATCGATGTGACGGTATCCAAGATCAATAGCATCTATAACAGCTTTTTCTACTTCTCCCGGTTGAGACTATTTTTTAAATAAATTATAATTAATAAGATAATGTTTCAGCAATTCAAATATCTTGTACAAGATAGTAGCGAAATCTAACCTAATTTAATTGGAAACATATATTGTATAATATATGATATTAATATCTCACCAAATAAGTTCCTAAAGCAAGCATCGGCATTTTATATCCATTTGCAAGCGTTGTGGAAGGAATTTCAGCCATTTTTCAATGCACCTCAACAAACTTATAATTGATGTATTTAACAGTATGCAGTTTCACAGCTATCTTCGATCTGCATTATCTATCATTCGTGTCTGCTATTTATCAAAGAGGTGTTATATAACAATTTAGTAGATATAAGATACAAATATAGAAAAATATCGATAATCATCTTACCATGTTAATGATTAGGTTTTTTTAAACTACAAAATATAAATAAAAAAGATTTGCAATACCAGTATCGGATGATGTCTTTTTCTTTTATTATTATTTTTAATTTTTTGTTTAGTAAATTTATTAAATAATCAAGATAAAGATAAGATCTACTAACAAAAATGTATAGATATAAAATAAATACCAGTTGCAAAAAATGGTATGATTAAAACTAAGATTGATAATAATATATATATATACATATATAGTATATATATATATATATACTGATGATAACAATATATCATTTATTGATTATAATAATATAAATCATATAAACAAATATATAAAATAAAATGTTTAAAATTCTACATTAAATGGGTAATCCTTGTGTTTCTCGAACCTACACAAAAATATATTTTTAAAATAATTATTAAAAGAATATTTTAATAATAAACTTACTCTTTAGCTGAACAAACTCTTATGCCACAATCAAATTTATCAATAATTGCTATTTCCTTAGGAGTAAGTTTAAAATCAAAAATATTAATATTCTCTTGAATGCGTTTTTTAGATGCAGATTTAGGTATTGGAATGGCACCAATATCAACCTAGAAAATAATATTTAAATTTATATATATAGATAAATATTTAAATAATAAGTTTCTTTTTTAATGGTGGATAAATATATCAATTTAAATACCAAATATCTGAGTATAACTTGTGCCGGCGTCTTTCCATATTTCTCAGCAATTTCTTCAGTCTGATTGATGTTAACTTGTGGATCGTCAGATTTTGCCCAAGGACGCATAGGCGAACCTAAAGGACTATATGCTGTAATAGCTATATTACGTGTTGCACAAAATTCTCTTAATTTCTTTTGATTCAAATTAATATGACATTCGACTTGATTTATTACTGGTTTTATAGTTGCTATGAAAAGTATACGATCAATTTGAATTGAATTGAAGTTACTAAGTCCGATGCTTTTGGTTAATCCTAATTTAACACATTCTTCCATTCCTTTCCATGTTCCAGTATAATCAGTATGTCCATACTTAGGATTACCTTTCTCATCGACTGGCCAAAGTCCTTCTGCATCATCCTAAGACAAAATGCAACAGTTTAATTAAAATTATGATCGATAATATCTACCAATAATATAGAAATGTTAAGTAAAATATTTGTCTTACCGTGTAAGACACAGGCCAGTGTATAAGATATAAATCAATGTAATCAAAACCAAAATTTTTCACTGACTGTTTACATGCAGGTACAACTTTTTCTTTTTTATGCATTGTATTCCATAGCTACAATATCGAAAGTTAATAAATAATATTTAAGTATGTGAAAAACTTTATATCAAAATATACCTTCGTTGTAATATAAAGATCTTCTCTTTTAACAACGCCTTCAGCAATTTTTTCTCTCAAAGCTTTCCCTATCACTGCTTCATTTCCATATATATAAGCACAATCAAAGTGTCTATATCCAGCATCGACTGCATCTTTAATTGCTTGTTCGACTACTTCTGGATCATCCTGTTATAAACCAAAAATAAAACAATTTCAACAATACACATGTTTACTTTTAAAATCAGATTAATATTTTAATTTTAGTGTAAAGATATTTACACCGCCTTGCCAAGTACCAAGTCCAAGTACTGGAATTTTTGTACCATTGTTCAAAGTCACAGCTGGTGCTACTCCTGGTGCTGTTTTTACTGCTGCTGCCATGGTTGTCGATCGATGAGATCACAATGATTATCAAATTGAAATTATTGTGTCTAAAAGATTATTTCAAATTTATCTATGTAAAAAGTGAATCGATAAATATTACTATCTGAAATAATCTGTCACGTACCAGTTGTATTAAAAAAAATCATGTTAATGAACGATATAAATTGACTTATTTTTTACAATACAAGACTATCTTGGAAGAAGTTAAGGCCAATGCACTTGTATTTGGTTACTAATTTTTATTTTATACCACGTTATATACCGATAGAGGGACGAATTAAAAACTAATATAAAATAATTGATTCACCATGTATATACATATACAAGGTGTCCCATAATTAAATGATCAAACTTTTTCGAAAAATTTTCAAAATATTGCATAAATTTGATCTTTTATATTTAAAACACATTGTATATAGATAGATTTTTATATTTTTAAAAATAAATTGCGATAATTGAAGTGTTTCAAGTTACATTATATGCGTAGATAATAATTACGCAACAAGTGTTTTTTGAGATGTTATCTGATACATATAAGCAAGTAAATAGTAATCTATATATATTTATACACATCCAATGTCGAACAAAAGTATTGATAGATATATAATGTTTCTATATTTTTTGTATAATCTATAAATAATATGATTCCTCATTTGAGATTTTTTTAAATAAAATATATTTTATGTAAATTAACGCTTTTCAAATTTTGTTACTTGAGCTAATACCCTTTCATTCATTATTATTAACTATTGAAAATTTGTTTCTCTTATTCTTTTTGTTATTAATATTTTGTATTAGTATGAAAAAGCTCGAAATACTATTTTCGAAGAAATATATAATATTTATCATACCTGATTTATGCGAGGATAAAATAATTTCCGTTTATGTAACGACTTCGTGCAGAATACTACAAAACAACGTTGTTCACAATAAAATGATGGAAGAACCGATGTTCTTACTAAATATGTATATTTATTGGAAGATGTATATAGATATATATAGATGTATATAGATGTATATAGATGTATATGATGTATATAAATGTATATGTATACACGTATAGATGCGTAATAAATCTTATGTCAGGTATCAGTATGGTAATAGTATCAAAAGTTAAAATGAACGAAAACATCTTATTTAATGTTTAATCGTTAATTTTAGATGGAAATAAAAAGAATATATATATATCAAATTTACAAAATTATGCATGATATTTGTTATTTTTTGTTTACTTATATGGGCATATATTTACATATGTAATGATAAAGTCTTGATTATCGTACGAGTATTTCTATTTTTATATATAAAACATTTGTACATTATTCATTTATTGTAATAAAAATAACTACACATATGTATGTTTGAATTTAGTCATTTAAAATAATGACGAGTCTTATATTTATGGTTTCATTATAATATTTTGTCTTTATTATCAATATATCTCACTTTGTGTTTTCTCATTTTTCAATTAATTTACTTTTTTTCTTGGTTGAAAAAAACATTTTAATTTAATTGTTATTCATTTTAGCACGCGTAAGAGGACCCCAATTTTCGACTGGATTTTCTGGGAACCTTAATAGCCCAGTTTGTCGAGAAATTGGATTAGCTTCTGAATGTAACGTAAATGATACATTTAGTTTCATTGGAGAATCCAAAATATTTTGCGCTGGATGATTAGTTGGCACGTTTTCCATTGACCTTTTAGCTGGATGAAGTTTTTCCCATGCACGTACAATATCCCATATGACATCGGTGGGGGCATCAGTTTTGATAGAGAATTTACTTGCATGAGAATATGATACTTTATATCCGGCATTTAATAATGCAGATCTGAATAATATCATGGGTGGTGTGATGCATTTGACCAGGGACATTATGCGGTTAAGGGTATAATACAAAGGTATATCTAATTCTTCGTTTATCATAGTCAATACCCCTTTTATTCGTTTTCTCGTTTTTAATTTCATATTATCTATATTATGCAATAATCGAGAAACAAATGTTTGGTCGTGCAAGGATGCTATCCAAATAGGACCAGCAACGTAATGTTCGCTCTTGCAATGTTTACAATTTTTATCGGAAATTAAATGAGATCTAGAAAATTTATTAGAGTTTATCTTCATTATAGGTTGAATAGTGAAACTTTCGCAACTTTTACATTGATATACCAATCCTGTTTTACTAGCATTATCTTTACATTTTAATTGGCTCCCAATAACTTTTACAAATACTCTTATATAAAAATCTACGCTGACCGATAATAATGGTACTATATAACGACCATGACGCCCCGCATGAGATGCAATATGTTGTAACAAAATTCTTAACGCCATTTCGTGACAGGCTTTAGTTTTAAGAGAGATAGAGCCATATTTGACATAACAAGTTTCCGGTGTGTTACCAGCTAACACAGCCATATCTGTTGCCGTAACTAAAAGTATGCCACCATTTATTACGCATTGTACTGCAGCATCTAGAAAGGTCGAAGGACAACCATAAGGATCTAAATCAACGGCATGGAAACCTTTTCTTTTGTTTTGGTACATGACCATGATAGCATCTTCTTGACTTGGCTTTACTATATTTTCCACCCCATTATGTCGAATGTTTTCTTTCATTGCTTTTACAGCTTCCTTCGAAAGATCATTAGCTATTATTTCTTTTATACCTTTTATTTCTTTAGCATATCTAATGCTACGCAAACCAGTTGCTGACAATGCTTCTAATATAGTAATACCATCATTCTTAAAACATGATCCATCATTTGAATTTTTCACTCCGTCACACTTGACATTTATTTCTTCATTTAGTTCTCGCAGATCTTCAGCAAAGAGCGACAATACAGCTATACTGAGATCTCTATTGAATTCCTGTGCCGGATTATAAAATACATTTTTAGAAATTACCAATAATTCAGCTTCTCCTTCTTTTATATGTTTCTCGGTTTCCAGTTTAGCTTTCTTCGTCGCCTGTTCACCATCCATATTAAACGAAAAGAAATATGTGATACCCTGAAAATATATATTTTAATTGATATATAAAACAATTTCTACAATAATGCATACACCCATTTATAATCATCTCACAATTTTCATTTTTTTCCTAGTATTTAGTAAATTAATTAGACAAAAGTGAACAAAAGTAAATTTGATAGAATTCTCATTGTAAATGTAAAATTTGTTGAAAACAATCTGTCTCATGCATAGTACAGTTAGTTCAGAAATAATTTGCATTCAATTGTGAGATATGTTTAATAAATAAAATAAAATAAAGTAATTAATCACTTTTTTAATAACCACACGCGTAAATATTTTTCTTACCGTTAGCTTGTTTCCTGTCCAGCGTAATATTTGCGAGGTTAGGGTGTCAATATCGATACTGATTGAGTTAGCTTGTGATTGGTTGAAAAAAATCGATTGTTCGATATCGATATTCGCATAATTTAAATGTGATTTATTTAAATGTGATTTATCGCTTATTTAAAAATGTCATTTAGATTTCATTTTAATTTCAATTTCATTCTCAATTTTTTAATTTCATTTAAAGATTTTAAACATAGCGCGCAATACTTATTCATAAGATAAGATAGATGAAAATAGAATGATGGAAAAATTCAAGCGATTATTGATAAATTGATAAGAAATACTGTCTGCGATTTATTCTAGATTTCCAAGAAATAATATTGTCATTTAAAAATAAATAATTATTAAAAGATTACTTATAGAGTTAAATAATTAAATACGTATCTTAAATATTTGTTTAAATAAAGAATTCAAATAAACAAACATTGGCACGTGGGTGACACCTGAAGCATCACATTCTTCGTGATCCTAATAGAAGCAGCAAATTGTCATTTTTATAATTATTAGCATAAAATAAATATTCGATATTATCGTAATCAGTAATTTTGATGTTCCATATTGTTCATTTGTTAAATAATTCCTTCAAAAATAGTTAAAAATATAAAAAAAAAATGTGTTTAGATATAATTTAAAGACATTAGCGCATGATGCGGAAGTTTCGCAGCTTCCGCAACATAAAGGAATCAAAGTTCTGTTAGGGTTGTAGGTGGGGATATCGTTCTAGATGGAGTCAGCGATGGTTGTTCAGTCTCGTTCTTAGTCTCCTCTTGGCTGGAATCGCGCGAATGAACTATAGTCCGGTATTTAATCGATGTTACTACGAAAAATTACGCGTACCCTATCGTAATACAAAGAAAGATTGTGACAATTGGTTCTTGTAAAAGCAAAAAGAAAAAATAGCAATATCGTATAGATAATATACAAACAATATTTGTTCATTTACATTTAATCGAAGAAAGGAAGATTAAAAAGGTGAAACAATCATTAATGCGTATTTCTTTTCACTAATCTTTTCAAATATGATAATCTAACACGTTCTACACATAGGCACGTACACCCACACAAATGTACACATAGAATCTTTTTTCAGAACTGCAGTCATCCGCAAATAGACGATCACGTAAATAGTCAAAGATAAAATTCCTACTAACGCGTTATTTATAATATGCATATAGTATTCATTTAGAAAACGCGATATGTAATACACGATGCGAAAGGAAATAACGAACATATTTTTGTTTCTTCCATCTTCGTTATAACAATTTTTCGAGTAGTTTAGATTAGATACTATTTAATCAGTAAATTCTTTTTCAAGGATACCCTTTCTCTCTTTCTATCTCTCTGTCTTTTTCGCGAGTTAAAAAAGAAATGTAAAAAAGAAAAATGAAAGAGAGAAAACAAAAAAGAAAAAGAAATCATTAGATTATTCTAGTATTCGAACAAAAATCTAGGTCAAAAGCATTCACATATATCGATACACGCCCTTATTCGTGACACCATTTTACATTGAAAGAAATGTTTTCGTCGAACCTTTAAGAACACGTGATTTTTTGTTATTAACAATCTTTGATTTGAAGAAATTTCTATGGTTCGATTGTAGATCGAATGAATTGAATGAATGAATTAATTAAAAGTTTGTTTCATTGATTAAATCAAAAACTGCGAGCTTTTACTTTGGATACCGCTGAGTTTCGAAAAACGGGCTCAAAGATGTACACTTTATCTATCTTTCTTTTTCTCTCTCTCTTTTTCTCTCACTTTCTTTCCTTTTCTATTACATGGGAGGGTGGCTGCGTGCTTTCTGCTGGGGTAGATCGATAAAACACATGCGCTCTGAGGGGTACATGCTCCGTTAGAAAAGAGGGGCGTTCAAGAGCTTTCCAACTTGAGCTTTGTATACACACTAATAGAAAAACACAGGACACCAATACAAAGATAGTTCCACATTTTTCCTTTCAAGCGTGTTCATCGTTTAACCGAAGAAGAACAATCAAGCAGCCACCCTTCCCAACCCCTATTTTCAAGTCTTACGACCAAAAGTTATTTCTACGAGTTAACCAATTACGTTCGAGTAACTGCATCTCGCTTTGGTAATGCATCCAATCGTGTAAAACGAAAAAATAGAAACGATAGAAATAAAGGGGATACTTTATTAAGTAATTTTTCTTGAATATTTTAATCGTTGGAGTCAAATGTTACAAGATTCAAAACCTATGGGACTTTTAGCACGATGCGAGCTCTATTTTTATACATTTTTATACGAATTACGTCAGGATTATGTCAAGATTGTGTCAGGATTGCGTCAAGGTTGTAAAACAGGGTAATAACTTTGAAAGAAAAAAAAAGATTTACTGTAACTATAATTTTAAATATTACAATAACGTGATATAACTTTAACTTGAATCATTCCATTAAGAGAAAATGAAATATTTCATTATTCTTTTATTCTGTGACATCACGATCTTTCTTTTTTTTTTTATTCACGATTACCGATAAAGAGAGATAGAGAGACAAAGAGAAAAAGAGAGAGAAATAAAAAGGAATCAACAAGTATGTTGGCAGGCAAGTACATCGTTCGATTTCGATGTGCAAGTGTATTACCTAATAACGCGTCACCTTTGATGCTAACCACGTTAACGAACAAACAGTCGTAATCTTTATTTATAGGTGTGAAATAATCTGATACTTAAGCGACCTTCCTGGATGCATCAACTTTTTCTTTTCAGATAAATTTTACAGTGGCTAGGTTTTTTTTTTTTTAATTTTTTTACTTTTTCGAATCGGGTAGTTTGCAACGATTTCAATCGGATATATGTACGTCCTGGTGGTTTTTCAAGAACATAATATGCGGAGAACGGGGAAGTAAATACGAGAAATAAAGTTCTATTCTACACTGTTCTATAGTTTACATTGACATGATTCCACTACAATCATACAGTGTATAAGATAATCACCTATCTGCGGCACAGTTCCCTCAAAAATATTGCTATTCTATAAGCACGTACTCAGACACACATATACGCACATACATGGTTGAAGTTACGAACAGATTCTGAAATTGCATCCTCGTACGATAAATTATTTAAAAAGACGTGTCGTCACTTCGAGGGCTAAACAGCTATTGTTGTCCTTGATTCGATCATTACGAATATTATTTTCATTCTTTCTTTTTGTTTTGTATTATTATATTATCATAAACGTTTAATTATTCTAATCTAGGAATAATGAATTCCTACTTAAAATGAGCTCACGCGATATATAATGATTCGATTGCTTTTCGAAGTGTAAACTTTGTTCATTTTCATGTACTTTAAATTAGTTCATCAGGTAGAATAAATTTGAGACAAAATGTAACGAGAGTGTTAATGTAAATAGATTGTTGAGCATGCACGAACCTTTCTCTTGATTGCACGCGATAACTTAACGATATCGAGTCGATACTGCGATTAATAAAGGAAAGAAGAAAGTTTAAAGATCGTCACTCTTCTAAAGATTAAATACTTCAGTGATTTTAATCGATAACAAATGAGATATCAAAAATTACAAATTTAACGCTGTCCTATATTGGAACATTATTATAATTGTTAAACAAGTGGATCGATCATTCTCCAGTTCAATACAAATCTCGAAGAAAAATTGATCGAATGTTTTTTTCTAATCCAAATGATTTTTTTGCCAGTTAAACAATTGTAAGTAAAAAAGGAAAAAAATGGAGGCAGAAAAAAACGGTACTATCGAAAAAGAAAAGAATGAAACGATCAACGAACAAGGAACGGTATTAGGACCAGTCACAAACGAAGTTGCAAATATGAAGATTGAGGACAGTACAGCGAGTGCAGGAAGTTCAACCCCAGGCAGTCCAGCTGCTTCTCCTGCTGGAAGTTTTCTAACAAATTTCAAAGCTTTCTCGAAATTTGGCGATCCCAAAAGCGACGGCAAATTGATAACTCTTAGCCAAAGTGATAAATGGATGAAACAGGCTAAGGTGATCGATGGCAAAAAAATTACGACCACGGATACTGGAATTTACTTTAAAAAACACAAGTACGAATTTATATATAATTATTTTGATAAATATTATAAATTAAAAAGAATTTTTCTATATGAAAACTTTTCTAACAAATTGACACGGAAATAAAAATTGACAATTAATTAATAATTAATCTGTTCAATCATTCTCGAAGGTCAATGAAACTAGGGATCGAACAGTACAAGGCCTTCCTCGATGAACTCGCTAAAAGTAAGAAAGTCGATTTAGCAGAAATGAAAAATAAAATGGCGAATTGTGGAGCACCTGGTGTTACTGGATCAGTCCATGTAAGTATAATATATAATATAATAATAATAACGATAATCAATCTATATTCGTGTTATGTAAGGATGAATAAAAAGAAATAATTTATAGGCAGGTAAAGCAGCTTCAACGGTAGACCGTTTAACGGATGTGACCAGGTACACTGGTTCCCATAAACAACGTTTCGATGAAAGTGGGAAAGGTAAAGGTATAGCTGGTCGAAAGGATTTACCTGATCAATCAGGATACGTCCAGGGATATCAGAATAAGGACACTTACAATAAAGGTCACTAGCCCAGATACGATTTTTGTTCTCTTATCTTTAAAACTACTATATTGTCCCGTCCAGGCAGTATGCACGTAAACGCTTCGTTCAGGTTTTGTTTGTAGAAACGTTTTTTCCTTTCTGATGCCTGCGTACGGGTCACTCACGATGCTTCCTCAAGATCGTTTTATTATTTCATTCTTCGATCGATTACACATTCCGTGAGGAACCCCTTTATCTTATTCCTACCTCTACCTATACCTCTGATCACAAACGCATGGGTCATTTATATCATAAAATAGAAAAAAATCGAAGGATGACAAAAACGTACGACCATTGATCGTTAAGATCCTGGATGATCTTTAAACGAACGATCTCGATAAATAAGAATACCCCACATTATTATTATTATTATTATTATTATTATTATTATAGAATTCTACCACATTTTTTCTGATTTAATCTGTCGAATCTTAAAGTACCTAATTACGAAACGTCACGTTTTTACATTATCTAAATGGGAAAGACTTTTGTAATGCTGGATCGATTACTATAGTCTTTCGAAATATAAAACGACGTTTCTGTGATAATCAGGACGAATATATTTAAATATGAACTCTGTCGATTATGTTATAAATATTGATCTCCATTTTGAAGAATAGTTGAAAAATAATATAAAAATAAAAAAGACATATAAATAATGCTAACACGCGCGTTCGAAAAATATCATTCGAAGCCTGATATTGGTATATTCAATTTTTCGCCAAGTATATTGCATTGTATTTTCATGAGGCAAAAAAAAAATATATATATATATATATATTAATATATTAAATCATATAACAAATATTTTCAGAAAAATCATAATCGAATGTTTCTTTCTCTTCTTTTTTTTTTTTATCATTATAATAATGCTTTGAAAAAAAAAAATTGCTCGGACGAGAATTTTAAGGCGTGTTCTATGTATAACCAAATCAAAATAATCAATTAATTAAAAACAAATGAATGAATAAGTATACAAAAGTTAATGCTAATGCAAAAAAACGATATATACGATTTTGTGATATTGCTGATTTTTTTTTTTATAAAGAATCTCGTCGAATTTTTGCACGAGGGCAAGAATATATATTGAAAAGTATTTTAATCAAAGTGTACTTAAAAAGTTATTTAAAACTTGTCGACGTAATTGCCTCAGACACCAAAATGCGAGACCAAACGCAAATCTAGTTATGTATTACATTCGATTGTATAAAACTATCTAGTATTCGTACATTTATGTATTTTGATGTCATTATATATATATAATGTATAAGAATTTATATATTTAATTATATATATTCTTCATTCGCGTATATATACCGTACGTGTAACGTAGTTACAAATAATAAATTTATTCGGTATATTAATTATTCCGATATTTCTTAAGTTTTCACAATTACTTTTTTTTTTTTTTTTTTAAACACTCTGTATTTCTATTTATATTAAAACAAATAAAAAAATATGACAACAGTTTATATAATTTTTCTCTTTAAACACAGTTAACACGAATATTTGATTAATTATGTGATATACGATCGTTCGCACGCTTACTGTTAAGAACATTATTAAAATAATATGTATCCATATTGTCAACCAATGAGATATAAACAACAATTATGGAAAAATGTACAATCTTATTGTTTTAAAGTCATCGTAGTACTTCTTGAAGAAAGTTTGCGTCTACGTGCGACAAAGGTTCAAATTGAGATTGAATCTGAAAAACTTGGGGGATATTTATTTATTTCGAACCATATGAGCCTCTGGGAGCATAAAAATTCAAAAATACCCAAAATAAGGACCACCCTAATATATTTATATATATAATAATAGTAATTAATAATTAAATAATAATAATAATAATAGTTCGTCGTATGATTCTCTTCGTCTACATTCTTAAATACTATTTTTACGTATTTACGGTAAATTTAGTCGACACTATCTTTCTTCCTCTCACTCTCTTAAAAAATAATATTTTTTTATCAGTATCACGCGAATTCGATGATTACGATATCATATGGAAGAGGATATTGCCATACCCAAGGTGATGTTGATAGTTCTTTCGTGTATGCAATGGGCGTGCGTGCATATGTGTAGTTGGCAGTGTTTATGTAAGTAAATACAAACACGTAGACATATATATATATATAAGTCGTATAAAAATTTATAATAATTTTTACGAACAATATAATATACTTATTTTAACAAGCACTGGCATATTTATAACGTAACATATAGATACATTACAAAAAGAAAATAGAGAATTAAAAATAAAAAATTAAAATTAAAATTATAAAAAAAAAAAACATTATCGTACGCGTCTCGGGCAAGAAAGGTGCATTTATAAATATAAAATTATTTAGTCGTGTGCATGTAATAAAGAATATAATTAATTACACGCTATGTGTTTATAAAAAAACAAAACTCTTCTTCCTATTTTTTTTTTATTTTAATTGTTTTCTCGATTAAAGCTTAACACGGTTATATTTAAATATTTTCATTAATTACGTTGAAAAAGATTGACGATGATCTAGTTTATATTAATTGAATACTGAACGAAGTAATTAAATAATCTTATTATTATTATTATTATTATTATTATTATTATTATTATTATTATTATTATTATTATTATTATTATTACTATTATTACGATGGATGCAACGTACGCCAATTTTCATTACTTTTTTATCTTTTTAATATAATATGTTATGAGTTTGCGTGCACGAATCATCTTTTACGCACACACACGCGCGGTCAATTATTTTAAATAATAAAATTTCATTTTTTTTTAATAATTGTTACATTTGCTTACTTCAAGGTTTATAAAATTTGTCTACTCGGCAACCCCCCTTCTTTACTACTCTTTCACTATCATTAATTATTCATTGACATACTATACACGAATTTTGACGATCTAAAAATTTAGTTGCGTGATCCCGTACATGGTCCTGCTGAACTTCCTCTTGAAGATGCCTCCCTGGTTTACCCCATCATACTTTTTATAGATATAATAAAATTCTCCATTTATTATAAATCAAAACTTAAATCGTAGTACTCTTAATTATGTATTTGCTGTACAGTTCCAGCATTAGAAGGAACACAGCAGTCACGATTTATTATTACGTATAAATATGAATTCAAATCAGTACGAAAATAATAAAAAAATAAAAACGAGTCGCGCGTGCACACGTGCAGCGAATAAAAAATAAAATAATAATATTCAGATTGTTTAATAAGTTAATAAATCACACTCAGTTTTCTTTCTTCCCTTTTCTTTCTTTTTTTTTCTCTTCATATAAAATTAACGTCGTTTCTCGTATAGTGTGAGAAACCGATACTCCTTGGATTTCGTTTTCGACGAAGCTATTATCGGGTTTTTCGAATTTACAGTACATATGAGCCATTTGTTTTCAAACTTGCATATAACTTTTGTTTAAAATAAAAAATTCATTTATGTTCGTTTGCCGATATTTTTTCATTATTTCAAACGCGGGAAAACGCTTAAATATATTTCAATATAAAAAACAAACGTACTCTCTTTAATCACTTTTAACGAATAAAAATAAACAAATAAATATAAATAAATTAACAAAATAAGACAACCACGCGCACGACGCATTACGCCCCTTTTGTGGCGCAACCCTTAAATATATATTTCAATTAAAGAATAAATGGACTCATACCACTGTGAAAAAAAAGAAAAAAAAAAAAAAAAAAGAAAAAATAGCTCACGTATTAATCTAAAGATGATGATTTAAAAATTTATAATTCCGTGAGCGTGTCGACGGAGGCACGAAGACGCGTTCGATTATTGCAATCACTGGATTCCTTGTTCGTGTTAACCTCGTCCATTCGTGATAATATTTCATCTCTGAGAACTATTAAAACACGACGATCTTGTCGATTTTGAGCAGGTGCTATGTGAAGCGCTTCTTGTACATCAGACATGGCATCCTCAAACAAACCAAGATCAACACGGGCCTTTGCTCGAGCATAAAAAGCTTCGTATGACGTTGATCGAACTTTGAGAGCTTCTTCGGCAAGTTCAATGGCCTCTGCTCCTTCCTATAAATCACATACAACATTTCATTCAAAAATATCAATCGTTATGCGTGGGAATAAAATAAAATATCTTACGTTCATCTTTCGCTTGCACCGACTCAGATTCAGCAAGAAGTTTAATTTCAATTGCGCAAAACTTTGTAGCTGCAGCATCATGTGATTCTGTTCCTGTCCTTGACAATCTTCCTCAGGCGAGACTGGAAATTTTTTCAGAGCGTAGGCGTACCGATGTGATGCTTCTTTCAAACGACTCTTTCGATAAAGTACGTTCCCATCTTCCAAAAGTTTATTTAACAGTATTAACAAGACGTCTGGTTTGCCAGCTGCCATTGCCCAAGTCGCTGGTCCAAGTTTTGCACCACGTCGTAAGAAACATTGGACAACTGGTATGTTGCGGCAACCAATTGCTCTGTCCAATGGTCGCATGCCGTGTAGATCAACGTGTTCGATGGCTGCTCCTTTTTCCAGTAACAATTGGACGAGTTTTGGATTACCCTAAATTACAAAATGATTGATATACGACGTTCACGTTGGTTTAGATAAAGGGTTGTGAGAGGGGGGTGGTGGAGTGACTGGAGTAATAAGTTTCAATTGTCTCTTTATTTATTTACCTGAAACGCAGCCAAATCCAAAGGAGTTCTACCAGTGTTGTCGCTCGTGTTAACGTCAGCATTGTGATCAAGAAGATTTTGTACACTATTGAGTCTTCCTCTGACACAAGCCCAACAGAGAGCAGTAAGACCTTCTTTGTCTTTAGCTTCGAGTACGGATCCTTTTTCAAAGAACAGTTCGATCAGATTAATATGACCTTCCGATGCAGCCAACATTAGTGCAGTTCGACCAGCTAAATCGCGTTGATCCAAAAGCGTTAACGCATCATCGAGCACAGTGTCCGTGCTACTGGATAACGTTCCTTGTAGAAGTCTTTCAGCAGTTCCCCAATGGCCTTCCCTTGCGGCAAGCATCAACGGTGAGAGACCTTTTGCGTTAACAGCTAATGGGCTTGCACCACGAGCAAGAAGTGCGGACACTGTTGTGGTTGAACCATTTGCTGCAGCAACGGTCAATGCAGTTTCGCCGATCAACGTATCCGGTAAATCGACTATCACTTCAGCCATGTCCAATAAATATTCGACTATTGACTCATGGCCTTGAGCAGCAGCAGCTACAACAGCTTGTTGCGCAGCTTCTTCCCTTCGTATCTCTGACGATCCGTTTTCGACAGTTTTCCCACCGCTGGGAACGAGCCAATCGCATGCCAAAAGATAACCAACTACGGATAATTTACCGTGTCTTGCTGCATGAACCAATGGACACTGTCCTGCCATGTCCACGTGGCCCAGCGATGCTCCGGCTGCAGCTAATCTGTGAATTTATGTAGAATATATTTTGAAAGGAAATTTACGATTTAATGTTGTACTGTGTGCATTATTTATTGCAACGCTCGCATACCTTCTAACGACATCACAGTGTCCTCGTGCTGCTGCGAGCGATAAGGCAGTGCATCCTTGACTGTTGGTCAGCTCAACATCAGCACCAAATTCCAAAAGAAGGGACACCATCTCGACTGAACCCTCGTGAGCATACATACAAAGAACAGGTGCGTTGCCTAAATATTCTGTGATGTGATTCGGTGATGCTCCTGCCAGCAGAAGCAATCTTGATACTTTTACATTTGGGCTATAAATATTACGTAGCGTGCACAGTGCTGCAGAAACGCATTCCGTAGCTGAAGTTAGCCAGATAGCCTAACAAAGGTAAAGATCGTGTTAGTTAATATTTATCTTATCTCTTCTCTCATTTGAATTTTTATTTTATTTTAACATATTGTTGACCGATCACGTGTATTTCCATATTTGCAAATGTGAAGAAAAACTTGTGTAATTATTACAATACGACAATGTTTACTCTTATTAGTTAAATTATTGATGAAACATTTTAGATTTTGGTTTTTATAGTGGGTCAACAATGATGTTGATGCTAAGATTTTATTGAAAAAAAATATAATTACTTGTAAATCGCGTGACGGCCAGCATGGAGCGACACCTCTGTAAACGTGAGCTTTCAGTACATGATGTCCAAGTTCCAAAGCTTTTTCACCATCTAATGGTGCTTGTAGACGAGATAATCTAAATGCAATAGCAGCATGACCGAGCCTCAAATCGCAAAGAAATTTGGTTGATTCGCCTTCGTCTCTTCTCATTAACCACTCCCTGAATGAAGGGTGGAAGAACATGTAGGTATCGTCTAGTCGTTTCACGAGGAAGCCAGAGAGCATCTGATAAAAAAACATAACAATCTTATTGTATATATATTATTTAAGATAAATTACATAAACAACAGTTGCATGCGTAATTTTGTATGCACTTTACGTACCCTTAATGTTCATCAGAGTATAATGCATGTATCAATAATATATTTATTTATATTTATATTTATTAATTAACGAGTATATATAGAAAGGATTTATTTAAATTGCATATACCTTGAATCTCTGCATGAAATCCTCCCACGAAACGAAGTGATTGGTAGTTAGTGAATTAATGGAATAATAAATTTCTGGCAGTGTCAGTGGATACAAAGCAGCCAAACACACGCCTAAGAGAGGTTGGACCTTGTCGAACGAGGTCGCTGTAGGAAATCTCAGGTTGAAATGCAATTGGAAGATTTGTGCGAGGGAAACTGGTAGAACCTAACAAAAAATAATAATCATTTATAGTAGCCACGTATATTGGGTTTAGTCAATTTTCAAATAAAAAGAACACAAAATATTGAATTCCTTCGTTACCTTGTAACTCGCTGATTTCGCAACGAGATGTCCACTTTCGATGAGATCAAGTGTCAATTTAGCGAATAAGAAACTTCCTCTCGCTAGTGACAACAAATGCGAGGCGAACCTTGTTTGATTAGCGCTACAAGATGATTCCGTCTTTCCGTTGACGGATGCAGTTACGTTTGTTTGTATTGAAGGACTTTGAGCTAGCCTATAGCCAATGTAATCGGACAAATCCTTGGTGACGTTGTTACCGGCAACATCGTTTGAAATTTTATCCAAAGAAATCCTCGTGTACGGAAGTTGTTTGCCGCATTCTAATAATTGTGTTCTAACCGTACAGATAACTTTCAGCCAACTAGGGAAGTTAGGCGCGTGTCTTGTTAAAAATGACGCTATTGTATCACCTCTGTCCGGTCTGTGATATTCTGCTTCGCAAACGGCATCGATGAGAATTACCTGTAGAACATTTAAACAACCAATTATAGATGAATTAAAGAAAATATTCGTATGCCAAGGATAAATTGTGTGAACGTACCATCGTAGATTCAGGCAATCTGTTAGCTTTCCTCAAAGTTAAGAGCGGTTCGATGATTCCTCTTGAAAGAGCAAGATCCGGATCTACCGTGCATTCTCTTTGCGATAAGGAACCCTGTAGATGTTGTTCGGATAAGAGATACTCTCTATAGGCAATCAACTGAGGTGCCTGGCACAATTGTGCAGCTAAAGAGTGAATTAAATCTGGTACTAGACAAGTGCTATTGTTGTCAGCTTGACAAAAATGATAGGCCACGACGTGAGATGCTAATTCTCGAACCTACGATTGAACCATCAACGATCATGATTATCATCAAAAGTTAAACAGATTTAGTGAAATGAATGATCGTAAAAGATTGATTGATTACTTTTTCATTGGTACGTCTTATATTGGATTGAAGAGTGATCGAAGTATTCGATCTGTCTCTTTCCTCGATTTCTTCAGTGATTTCCGGCGGAACCACCACCGGTTGCACTCGTCGCCTTCCAAAACAACTGTGCTCTACTAGTTGTAAAACGAGTGCCGTTTTACCGGTACCAGGTGATCCGGATATTAAAATACCAGGACTCGAGCTGTTTATCACGGATAATATTTCGTGGAGGAGCCAGAGACGTCCTGTAAAGAGCGGCTCCGTTTCGAGTAAAGGAACTTCAAAGAATAGTGGCTTGAGTGTCAGTTGTGTGGCATGATGCTGAACGAAGCGTACTAGAAAGAAGATCGTATCGTAATAACGATATAAAGTAAAACAAGTCATCCTATTAATCGTGTTTTATAGGACGTATTGCTTATTAATTCATTGGCATAAACTTTTCGAGCAAAGAAATAATAGATAGAGCAATAAAATGATGAATATTGAAATAAATTACATTTGGGGTCGATGCTTCCCTTGACGTTATTAGCCCTGGCCGATCTTCTGACGCACGTTCGTCTGTTTTTAAATTGGATTACGACGTCCTCGGGTTGTTGGTTCGTTTGCGAGGCATTAACGGAATGTCTTCTTGGTGCGAGTGGACTCGAACTACCGTTCGAAAGACCGGACACGGAAACTGACATCGACATAGACATCGACGTGGATGCCGATGCCGACGTTGAGATCGAAACCAAACTACCGGCACTGTCGCAATCTCTCGATTTACTTTTTCCTTTGATCTTGCTTTTAGGTTTGTTTGTGCTACGTAAAGCGGCAGCAGCTTCGGTCTCGCTCGAAGTACCGGTCAACGTTGATACTGGACTAGTGTTGGTTGATGCCAAAGTTTGCGTTTCGAAACTCGTTAAACTGCTGAAGGAAGCTGCCGAACTATCGTGGCCTTGCATCGGTGGCCTGAACAAAAATAAAATTCAGAATTAATGAAGTATGTTGTAAAAATATTTTGAACATTGTCTATCATTTACGAACACCCCCCTACATATTGAACGGATGATGCTTACCTTTGAATCACAGAAGTAGCAGCAACACGATTGGATGCACCAGGAAAATAATTCGCTGTATCGACAACTGAATTCTCTCGACCATGATGATGATTTCCACCAAGCAATAAACCCAGTCTCATGTAAAGATCCGATTGCGAGGATTTCCGCGTTTTCGAGGACAACGGTTTGACGCAACCACCTTCGTCATCTACAACAACAGGATCAAAGGATCTTTGTTAAATAATAATAATACAAATAAAAATGAAATTTATTAGAAACAACCGTTGGATGCAACGATCACACACACCAACAGGCACGATGCAATTTCTCTACGTTTTCTGCATCACCTAAAAATCTTATTTACAGGTCAGGAAAGAAACACAGAGTCGTCGTTCTTCTCTTATCGGCGTGCACATCTATCTTGCGTGGGAAAAAATCATAAAAATACCAACAACAACAACAATAAAAAGAATTAAATAAAAATAAGAAAATGGTTGCGAGTAGGAGAAAATGATAAATCATCTCCATGCTGTGAGTAATCATGCTACGACGATATTAAATCGATTATCAAGAAAAATGATCTATTTCAGTTGTCCGAGAAGTTTTTAGTCGATTTATACTCGTTATAATTTTGCAAAATATCTCGAGATTGCGAGAACAAATAAATTAAATATGTATTTGTAAATCAGCATGAACTTTCCGGACAATTCAATACTCGTGTATATTGCGTTCAAGGATTTCATTAATCGTTGAACTACTCTCGGTGCAACCTTTAACGACATCGCAGAAACACACATACACATAGAGAGAAAAAGAGAGAGAGAAGCGCACACTCGTAAGAATAATTCCTGCCTGCGAGTTTATTGGAAGAATCAATTAGTTGATTAAGTCCATCGTTTGCTGTTCCTTGACTGTTGCTCCATAACGATTTGATTTTTCCTAATACGAGGCCTGGCCATCTTGATTTTCCTTCCCAGGATGATACCATCCATGCTGTACGTATGTGTATTTTATTTAAGTTGATACAAAAATAATTGCGGTTTTTAAGTATCCTTAAGGAAATTATTATTATCGATTTTCACCCTATTACAATCATATATCGCATAATCGATCCTAAATAAAAGTTAGATTCAAATAATAAAACCCCAAATTATTTTTGCACTAACCCAATATGATAATAAATGAGTAATATTTGTATTGAATGCTAACCAATTTGTTGTGCTCGTTTTATACTGTAATTTGGAATAATATTTTGTAAAAAAAAATAAATTTCGTTTGTTTGATTTTTAATTAAAAAGTCCATTTTAATTTGAAGATAAATAATGTTAATACCTGATAACGCGGAAGGATTATCAGTCGTTGGTGGTTCAGGTGAGGACGTTCCACGTCTCGAGGATCGTTGCGGTCCGAAGGAACTTCTCAATACTTTTGGATTCAAAAAGAATCTTCTTCGTTGATTAGGTGGTGTAGGGCAACCTGAACAAATTTCGTAATAACATAAATTTTCATTGAACACCAGGAGAATTTTGTAAATAATTTTGATTGAAATAATGCAAAAAATATGGTTCGGTATTGCTGTACGTACTCTGAGTCATTTGAGGTTTCTGTCGAGTATGAGAGTTCAGTGGGGAGTTCATTTTACTTTTTGAACTTTTACCAAGTTCCCCGGGAGAAACGTTGCTAGTAGCTAGGTTGTCTCGTTGCTGTAGAATAAGAGAAACTTATATACATTGGGAATACGTTCAACCTGGAAACATTTATATTTCATTCTCGAAGATTCGCTAGAATGGATGCAATGGATGGCATCATCCAAATGCATACGAACGAAGCAACGATAAAGTTCAATCGATATTTCTATTATTGGAATGCCATAATTGTTGGACATCCCTGTTATAAAAGATGAAAATTCCTAAAAAAAAAATCGCTTACGTGAATTGTTCGGGGCGGTAAATTAGTACGAGAGGTGGTGAGTTTAGTGCGTGGTCTTGGGCTGCCGCAAAGAGAGTTGACCGTGGATGAGTCATCGATCCAACCACCGTCCATAAGTAAAAAGTTAGACATTGGTTCGATCGAAGAACCAACAAACTCCTCGCCAAAGGGTCCAGCACCATCTTCAAGGCCTTCCTCTTCTTCTTCTTCGTCGCCATTGAGATCGGCACGTTGGTGGTGATCAGCTCGCAAACACAGTGGGCAAGCTTCGCTACGGAAAAGGCAGGAATAACATCTCTCGTGGCCGCAGGAATCGATCAGTCGTCGTTTTTTCCCTTTGTCGAAGGGCATCTCGCAGGATGGACAAGTCGAACCACCGAGCATTCCCGTTGATTCTACCAGTGCACGAATTTGCGCCAAGTCTGATGATGATAAACAAATAACATTTTTACGTCGATTTTGTAATCATTTACTTATAATCCTTTATTTCAATTAACGGTAATCAATTTCCTTGGTTATATAATGTTACAACATATAATTAACATTTACAAATATTATGCAATCAAGAAAGTCGGTATGTCGGCAATTGTGAAGAAAAAGAAAATTTGAATAAAAAAATCAATTAACACACACACACGAGTTTAAAATAATTATAATGATAATAATATATGATCGTTCGTTGATATGTAAAATAAGAATAAAAGAGTAGTATAAGCAGATAAAGTGGTAGTAGTAGGGTCGCGCGTGAGTTAACGAGGTCGAACGCATCACGGAGATCTGAAAGCGTGTTGCAGAAGCGAAACAGACCAAGCGGATAGTCGTCGCAAAGTCACGTTACACGTGGGCTCACGTACGTTACGTGAGTATAGGTAGGTAAGTACGTGAGGGTGATCGTGAAGAGGACAAGCACACGCGAGAGCTCCCGTCATGACCTCACTTTCTAGAATCCTTTAAGTACGATGCGAGGCGCCTCTTCGAGCCTTCGATTCGCGTCATCCACCTCGTTTGTCCATTATCATCGTGTCATGAACCCCCAACGCAACCTCCTCTCTCACGATGCCCATATCTTCAATCATTTCTCATTTTGTCTCATCTTATTATCATTTCAAACTTATAAATATTATCACATATATTTTTTTTTACTTATTCTTCAAATATTGTCCCCCCCCCCTCCCATTAGGTACATAAAAACCTACAAAGCGTAATCATCGAGTTTTTCAAAAAAAGAAAAAAATGGTCAATCTTGTTTAAACACAAGGGTCAGGATACAAAGAGAAGGGGGAATGAAGAGTAAAGGGGTGAGGGGTAGGTAGGTAATTCGGGTCTCACGACCTCCTATCCTGGTAAGGTAAGTGCACACAGGTAGGCAGGTGCAATTCCACTCGGGGCTGGCTTACCGTAAGCTAGGTCAACGCACTCGAAGACGTAAAGAGCTCGAAGGAAGTAAGTAAGTACGTCTCGCTTCCG